AGGTACTGAAGACTGACGGAAGGAATCTTCTCCTGGTGAAGGGCTGAGAAATAGAAAGGGTAGAGGGATATGGCCAAACATCCAGGGAAAATATGTGAAGCAGCCAGGCATTGAGTGAAACCGCCCCAAGGCCCAGACCAGACCAGGCTCTTTACGACTTTCTCTCCCCCTCTTTCACTGTTTGGAACTGAATTTAATTAAAGTGAGTAGGAGTTGCTAAGAGACCAGAGGAGTTCTGGAGTTTGTTGCTGGGGCTGAATTGCTGCTCTGCTTCCAAGGCTTTGCGCTAGGAAGAATGATGTAACGTGAGCCTATGTAAAGCGCTCCTGGCTCTAGAGGAAAGCTGCTCTCTCCTCCTGGTAGTTACAGTCTGGTTTACCAGTTCTGCTCCTGGTAGTTACAGTCTGGTTTACTGGTTCTCATCTCCTTTCTTTATTTTACTTAACTGTTTGTTTCTTCCTAGACACCGACAAAACCCAGGTTCATCTTTTTACAGCATTCTTCTGCCTGCATCCACCTTGTAGATTTCTCCTTGTGATCTTTCAGGTTGGAGGTGGCAGTGGCCAGAGCCTGCAATTTGTCATGAGCAAGTAGCTTTGGAAGTTAAAAGGCTGTCTACTTCTAAACTCTCTAGTTCATTACTCCTCATCCTTTCCTCCGTTCCGCCATGATTTCAGCCCAGCATTGGACAGTGGGCCAGGTGAAATCTTCCAACTCCATTTCTGCAGCTTAACATTTTGCTCTGACACCCTGGCTCATGCTTGAAACACCAGGAGTCTCCTGGCAATCTCCTGAACAAGGGTTCTTTACCTTCCAAGATCAAGGCAAGAGATTATATGTTTAGCTTCGCAGGGTCACCTCATTCCTAAATCACTTCTTTCAATTTTACCTGACTTTTGTTAACTCAGGACCATCCATATTCACAAGATGATTAGGAAGATAACCTATAGCCTGGGAAGACATGTGTCTGCTGTGGTGTGTGGGACCACCCAGGTGAGAAGATTTCTGCATGGTGAGTAGTGTATTCTGAAACAGTTCCTGGGTGGAAAACATTCTCCTCATCTGAATGCAGCAGACACCTTGCTGGCAGCATTCTGGGAGCAAAGCAAAGAGCAACAATAGTCTTGATGCATGATAGTCTTCTGATATATTGAGTTACTATGGTATACTTGGTGTTTCCACTCTTTTAAAACACATTCTTTGGGCATGGTTGCAGGGCTCAGCTAGTTCACAGCAATGTTAATTTAAAGTAATGTTACTGGAGCCAATGACAACACAGCTGTAAAAATGGTGGCAGAGGAACACTCGGCAATGATGATGAGGATTATTATTCATATTAACAGTAGAGATATTTTGCAAATATTTCACTTACGTAAAACACAGCTTTAGTCTTCGTGAAGTTATTTGTGAATTCACCCCAAAGAACAGCTGAAGAGGGGGATAAGTTTATTTGTGATGATGACAATTTGCCTCTTATAAACCAGCTCTGTAGTTACTGCAGATACCCATGCAAATAATGCACTTTTCTGTGTTTATCCCCAGGTGCTTATTTCAGGATTCAGCCCTCCGTACAGGAAGCTCTGATGGAGGGGAGACCAGTTGTAGCCTTGGAAAGCACCATCATTACACATGGCATGGCCTATCCTCAGAATCTGAGGTGGTGGATTTTGATGTTCCTTGTTCAGCAAAGTATTAAGAACAAGGCATATAACTGGTGGATCAGTATCAGCATTCTTGGTCAAGCCAAAACCCTTGTAAGAGCAAATGGAAATGTCAGGTTGCTAGGCATGCAGCATATGAGCTCAGGTGTCGAACAAGTGTGTTTGGGCTTCTAGGGACACATACAGGGTACCTATTTATCTCCTTATCCAACACGATAAATTTCTGGCTTCCTTTAAAATGTGGCAGCAGATAACGTCATCACTTGCTCTAAGAGAGAGCTACCAGCCTTCTCAGCTGCATAGTTTATACAAACTTTGAAAACACTCTGCAGTTTCTTTTGGTGTATCTTTTGTAATGCAAAAAGGATTGGCACACAATAGTGAAATTTGTTCCTTAGTGCAGCTCAGAGCGGCTACTGTGAGAGCTGCTGGTCCCTCTCGCTTCCTTCTGTACCCTGCACAGAGCCCCCCCCCCCCTTTTTTTATTGTTGTTTAGGAGACTTTTTTTTCATTG